CGACTTGGCACCTGGCTACTAGGCACTACTAGGCCCCCTCGATGGCGTCTATTGCCCGGTTTGGCTGCCCCGCGTTCTAGCCCTCCCAATTGTTCCCCGCTTCCACCCCCCGGAACCAATCCGCGTGGATTTCGAACTACTACTATATGTATAGCGTACCAGGGAAGGTGCTCAATCCGATGGCTTGTGCATGCCTTGTTCAAATGCCGGAGGGTCTCCTTGGATCTGATTTATAAATGCTGACCCCCATTCCTGCCCGACGACGTCTGTCGTCCTCGTGAAGACAATCAACCATCTCTCATCAAACCCCAGGCGTTTCCGCCCAGCAGCCCTATCCAGAGCACGATGGCTTCCAACGGCACTAACGGTGCACAGGCGCCAGCCCCGTCTCCAGCTTTCGATATCTCATCCACCATTCCCCTGTGGCTGGACGGACAAGAAGTCAAGCTGCCGTCGACCTTTGACGTGGTCTCCCCGCTCGACCAGAAGACACTTTACAAGTGCTCGTCGGCCGACGAGGAGGACGTGCAGAAGGCCATCGCCGCCGCCGAGAAGGCATTCACCACGTGGTCTAAGACGAAGCCCAACTTCCGGAGAGATATCTTCCTGCGCGCGGCCGACGAGTTCAAGCGGAGACGAGACGAGCTGAAGCACTACAGCTATAGCGAGACGGGCGCGGCCGAGAGCATGTTCGCCTTCGAGCACAACCTGGCATACGAGGCCTGCAAGAGCGTCGCTGGCCTCATTCAGGTCGCTTCGACCTCTTCCATGCCCGTCGTCGTTGAAGAGGGCGCCAATGCCATGGTGGTTAAAGAGCCGTTTGGTGTGGTTCTCGGGATTGCGCCGTGGAATGCCCCCTATGTCCTAGGTCTCCGTGCCTGCTTGCAGCCTCTTGCCATGTAAGTTGAAAAACAACACAATCGTAAGGAATCTATGACGCTCTATACTTTCCTTTTGAATAGATTTTTTTTTTAAAAAAAAAAAAAAAAAGAAAAAGGATTCATCATATAAGAAAGAAAGTTTGGGCTACAGGCTGACCAGAACAAAACCCGCACAGGGGAAACACAGTCATCCTCAAGGGCCCTGAAGCCGCTCCTGCAACCTACTGGGCTCTTGCCTCTGTCCTTCACACGGCCGGCCTACCCGCGGGCTGCCTGAACACCATCTACCATCGGCCCGCAGATGCTGCGAAGGTGACTTCCGCGCTGATTTCTCACCCAGCCATCAAGAAGATCAACTTCACGGGCTCGACGGCCGTGGGCGCCATAATCGCCTCCCAGGCCGGGAAGTACCTCAAGCCGACCGTCATGGAACTCGGCGGCAAGGCGCCCTCCATCGTGTGTGACGACGCCAACATCCAGACCGCTGCGTTGCAGTGCGCATTGGGTGCGTTCCTGCACGCGGGCCAGATTTGCATGGCAACGGAACGGATCATCGTGCACGAGAAAGTGGCGGACAAATTCCGCGAGGCGCTCAAGCAGACGATGGACAACGTCTTCGCCGAAGCCCCGGGCGGCATGGGAGTGCCGCAGCTCGTGACGGCGGCGCCGGTGCTGAAGAACAAGAAGCTGCTGGAGGACGCGCTGTCTAAGGGGGCTAAGACGGTGTACGGCGACGCGCAGCACAGCGAGGCATTGGCCACGCGCATGCGGCCCGTCATCATCGAGAACGTCACTCCCAAGATGGACATCTACCACACCGAGTCGTTCGGGCCAACCGTGTCGCTGTACGTGGTGGCGGACGACGCAGAGGCGCTGCAGATCGCAAACGACACCGACTACGGCCTGGCCAGCGCCGTCTTCACTGAGGACCTGCGCCGCGGCCTCAAGCTGGCCAGGCAGATCGAGAGCGGGGCCGTCCACATCAACGGCATGAGCATCCACGACGAGTCCGCCCTCCCCCACGGCGGTGTCAAGAAGAGCGGGTTCGGTCGCTTCAACGGCCTGCCTGGTCTGGAGGAGTGGGTCCGGACAAAGGTCATTACCTGGAAGGATTGAGCACGAAGCACTGATCACTGAGCATGAGGAGAGCTTTTGAGTAAGCACCCGTTCAGAGGAGCGGAAAAGTCGTCATGGACGGCCTCAGCGTCGGCCTGTCCCGGTCGTCGTCCGTGTAATGAGTAAGGAAGTACGTAAGTACTTGCAGGTAGGAAGGTAGCAAGATACCTCGCGAGTAGGGAGGTAGAGAGACTAGCGAATTCGGGGGTGGTGGCACCAGCGGCACTACAACTGTGATCCCTCTCCTACCTTAGCTGTGTCTGCTCACACCGCAGGATCTATGGATGACCTGTGCTGCACGATAACCTCCCCCTCCCCCAGCCTGTCTGTTTAGCATCGCCATCATAATGCAGATTCATGCTGGTACATCATTGCTGGACTCCGTAGTCATGCTCTCATTAAGGCTCAATTGATCATTAGGACATACCCCGGACGGGCGTGGGCCAACGCGAGAATCCCAAACTTCCTGGCGAGTAAATCATCACAACTTTGGGGTTTTGGTCAGATTCTCATAGCCGTCTTCCAAGATATGCACGTCGTCCTCGATCCTGACGCCGCCGACGGTCCAGTACCTCTCCAACACGCTCTTGTCAATGTACCGGCTCAGCTCCGGGTCCTCCAGCACGGGGTCCAGGATAAACTTGCAAAAGTAGATGCCCGGTTCGACGGTGATGACGGCGCCGGCGGGCACCGCGCCCCGCACGCGCAGGTACTTGAACATCTGGTCCGGGTCGTCGTAGTTGGCGTGGCCGCCCGTGTCGTGCGTGTCCATGCCCAGATAGTGGCCCAGGCCATGCGGCATGAACGCGACGCTGATGCGCTTGTTGAAGATCTCCTCCTCGTCCCCGACAAGGATGCCGGCACCCTTGAGCCCTCTGATTGCGACGCGGTGGGCGTTCATATGCACATCTTCCCACCGCATGTTTGCGCGCAGCATCTTGAAGCACGACGACTGCATCTCATCAACAATATTGTATATCGTCTGTGACTCGGGCGTGAATGCGCCCGAGATGGGGAATGTGCGCGTTATGTCGGCGCAGTAGCAGTCATACTCTGCGCCCGCGTCGAGAAGGATGTTCAAGCGGTCCCGCAAGGGTTGGTCGTTACGGACGTAGTGGAGAGTCGAGCAACTCGTCCCGCTGGCGCAGATGGAGTGGTATGCCAGCTCATGTGCCCCGTTCGAAATACATGTCCCGACAAAGGCACCGTAAAGTTCTTGCTCATTTGTCGCCGTACGCACCGCCTTGGCGGCTTCAATGTGCCCAAGTGTGGAGATCTCATTGGCCTTGCGGATGAGCGCGACCTCATAGCTGTCTTTTACCACGCGGCACTCATCAATGGCCGTCTTAAGGCACGAGAATTCCACGGCTTTGAAGGGCAAGAATGTGATGTGTTCGGAGACTTGTTCGGGGATGGCGTAGACGGTGGCGGCCCTCGAAGGCCCGTAGGCTGCCAATGCGGCATTGACTTCGTTCGAGTAGAGGACATTGTCGACGTCATATTTGGCCATGGCCTCCTCTTTGGACTCAGGCAGGCCGCTCCAAATCACGCTGTCCGGGTCGATGGGGGGGATAAAGAGGGTGAGGATGTCTTGGGGGATGTTGTAGGTCAGGTACGCGTCGGGGAGCTTGCAGCCGGAGAGGTAGAAGAAGTATCGACGCTGTCGGAAGTGCATGGCCTGGTCGTCGTCTTCAACCATGTGGGTTTTCTGGGCTTCGAGGTATATGACTCCATGGCGTGAGAAGCCGGCGTCGATCATGTATTGAGCGACGCGCCGACAGTGTGCTTTGGCGGGATATTTCCCCTCGAGCATTGTGCCGTTGACAGACATGAAGGTGACGGCGTCTGCGGAATATGTTGTTGGGCCTGACTGGTAAGAAGGGCGGGAAGAGACGATAGTGCTGCTACAGGTGAGATATTAACCAGAAGGGCAGACGCAGTTGGGTACATAGCCTCCCCGCATTGGGTGCATCCACCCTGGGCCTGTACAAGTATGGCCTGATGGCTCACCAGGTCTTGTAATATTATGGCTTCCTCCTTCGTTACGATTTCCTCCTATGGACACACAGCATAATTTCCACCAAGGCCGCTTATCCCACGGTTATTACTCTATTAGAGCAATCGTGGCTACTTCACTGTTGCATTGAATATGTTTGATCTATCCTTACAACACCGCGCTGACTGGTTAAATTCGTAATCGAAAGCGAGTCCTTAAAAACAGGAAGAACATGAAGAGGCCCTGCTGAGGTACATAGCTCCCTTCGTCAGGTGGGTGCCTATAGTTTGTTGAGGAGCAAGAGGCAATCAGTTCACCAAGCCACAACTTGACCCCTCCTCCCCATGTCATGAAGGCCGAGCTTCTTGTCCAGCAAAATGACCCGACAGCCGCTTGAGATAGTGTTACGGCGATGAATGGAACTGCCCTCTGTACGACTGCGCACACGCTTAAGTCCATCGTATCAGAGCTGCTCCCTGCTGAACAGGAACACAGGACGTTTACATGCCAGGCGAGCGAACAAACGGCCTGATGCTGAGCAGAATATTCCAGTACAGCTTGATTCCGTAGACGAGATGATAAAACTGGCGGAAATTAACTGCAACTTGACCTCCGCCTCTCACTGGGTTCAAGGCATCCCAGTTGCTACTAATTGCGAGTCGAGGAAGGAAAATGAGCGTCGCAAATGCCCTCTATATCCGAAACCATCCATCTTCGCGGTTGGCCGACTTTTCCTGTCGAAGGATATGACATCGACTGGTGTAGCCTGGTGAACGCAGTTCGAGAGACCTTGAGCAGTGGGAGAATGGCCGATGGTACTGGTTTCATCTCAATCTGGGCTGACGTCGGATCTCTGGCTGATGCCGTGGTACAGCGAAAGACTGTTCAATGAGATCCTATAGGGACCGTGTGCGGAAGAACGATCTCTGGCCGGTGGTACCGTTGTACATTGCGCCCTCAAACGTTTGAATGTCAAAGCTCCAACTTAAGCCTCTTCATCTCCTCCGTCACACGACATGAATGGCCGCCATCACATCAAGTGCTGCAAGTTGGGAGTGACTTGTTGGCAAATCCATGGGACCATCCCACCAGGGGCCGTATTGTCCCTTCCCGTTTGTATCTCTCAGCTGCAAACTTTGGAACTGCGTCTCGATAAAACTCGCCAACTGTGTTTGCATTTCTGGGTGGCTGTCGTCGCGGCAGAGGATCCTGTACAGCTTGGCCAGGCTCCGTAGCAATATGGCTTTGAAGCCAATAGCGTCGTCGTTCTCCCATGCTGGCTTTTTGTCCGGACCGGTGCCAGGGTACGCCCCAGGCTCCGTGAGTGTTCCATTCACGTCGACCCAGCTGCCCCGAGTTATGGCATGGCTGGCCATATCACAGGCCAGGGCCAGATACGCTTCTGTCGTTGCAGATTGAATCAAGTCCAAGTCTCTCGATTTCAAGGTATTATAGATGGCGATAGATGCTGCAATAGCTTGGCCGGTGTTGTACGTGAAGGTCCAATCGTAGCTCCGGCCTGTGCCGAGATCGATGTGATCCAGGACAATATACCTGTCTTGATCGAACCTGCTGCGCAAGATCCAAGAGAAGCTGTTGATGGCAGAGGCGAGGAATTTTTCTCTGTCCGTTTCGTTCGCTTGCTGACATGCTAATCGTGCTGATAGCTCCGCGTAGAGACCAGTGGTAACGGCATTGACTTGGGTTTCATTCGGCTTGCTCGACCAAATCACCCCGCCTCCCATGTCGGTGCCGTTGATGATATATTTCCCAGTCGGAATCACATAGTGGTTGACATGTTCCCAGATGGCCTCTGCTACTGCAAGATGACTCGGTCCCCCCGTAAGATCGAAAGCCTCCAATACACAGATCGCCCACCACATAGAGTCGTCGTTCATGTCATTGATGCAGTTTGTGGTATTCACCTCGACTTTGCCGATGAGGCCGTCCAAGATGCCGCTGTAGGAAGGAGTATTGGACCAGAGATCGTGCAGCGCGATTGCTGTGTAGCCATTGGCTACTTGCCAGTAGCCGAGGCCACTGATAAGACCGCTGTCTTGTTGCGACGCGAGGAAGACGTTGATGGCAGCTTGAGTAATGCCGATGGTAGAGGTTCCATCTGTTGCAAGAGACATGTCTGTGTTCATGTTCGTTATGGGGCGAATGATTTCGAGGCAGGTCTTGTATATGAGGCTTCCGAGAAATAACGGAGCCTTGACTGGGCCGCAGCCCTCATATATCAAACGAAACATGACTGATGGCACAAGATCACTGAATGTGGTCTGAATGGCCATTCACCCTGCTATACAAGACCAGCTGTTGCGAGATGCGAGCGAATGCTTGGGCGGTCACCCTGCCTGGCCGTGGAGAAGTTGCATTCACATCAAAAATCCTCGGGCGAAGGAGAAATGACCCCTGCGCCGTGACGGCTGAAGCATCTGGGCGTCGGCTTCGCAAAGTCCCTAGTCATGCTGCACATCAAACCTGCGTAATGGCGCCTGGGGCGTCTGGTGGGCCGAGACACGGGACCGTCGCGGTGTTTGACAGCGGTTGGATGGTAATGGCATGAATGTGTAGTGAACCATCACCAAAATGACCAGACACGACCGAGGGCGGGAAGAACGTCAACCAGCAGACAGACAGAAACTCGCAGTCGAGTAAGTGATGACCCAGTCGTCACCGTGGCCGCCATATGCAAGGAAGAAGAGCACAGCCGGCGATAGAGAGCTTGACCGGTTGGTGGAGATGCTGGAGATGCCAGGGTGTTCTACCGATTGGGTGGAGCGCCGGGTAGCAACAGAACTGTTACCAAACACGGTCGTGGTGACAGCCCGAATATTCTTATAATATTATTATCTCCATCCGTTGCCGTTTTGGGAAGTATCACCCGTCCGCTGGAATACAAGGTGTCAGAGTATCGACCTGTCGGAGATGGCGACGGTGGCGAGCACAATATATAAAGGTCGCAAGATATGGCTTCAGCGGTCGACATTCCAGCTTCATCACTCTCATAAGATCCTCAACGTCCCCCTGCCAAACCCAGCACAGCAACCACAATCATGACTTCCTCCATGTCTACCATCCTCATCTTCGGGGGCACCGGCGGCATCGGTGAATCTTTTGCGCGAGCCTTCCACGGCATGGGCAAGAAAGTGATCATCACCGGCCGCCGTGAGTCTCGCCTCGCAGAGCTGGCCAAGGCGCTACCAGGTCTCGAAACGTACACCATGGACAACAGTGATCTGGCCGCTCTCCCCGGCCACGTCAAGACCATCCTCTCCGCGTATCCTGACATTGACACGGTCTGGGTCAACTCTGGGATCCAATACCAGGGTAATTTCTTGTCCCTCGACAACTTCTCCGACGAAAAAATCATCAAAGAGACCAACACCAACATGACTGCTCCCATCATTCTGGCTCGCCATCTCGTCCCGCATCTGTTGTCTCTGGGCCGCGAGGGCACCTTCATGATCACCTCTTCTGGTCTCGGATATGTCCCCATGGCCCTGTTCCCGGTCTATTGTCCCTCGAAAGCTGCGGTCCACGCGTTCCTGGTCGGACTCAGAGATAGCCTCAGCGGCACCAACGTCAACGTCATTGAAATCGTACCGCCGTATGTGCGAACAGATCTCGACGCCGAGAACCGGTTGGACAAGCTCGCGACGCCAATGGAGTTGGATGAATACACGAACAAGACACTGGAAATACTGCAGAAGCCGGCAAAGGAGATCAAGGAGGCGGGCGTTGGTTTTGCAGACATGGTGTCCCAGAAATGGAGGGAGGCATACAATCCGTCCCTCCACATGTTACATTCGCAAGGGTGAGATTGGGGAGAACGAAGGGGTGCACGGGCGATCATGGCGCTCTCTGTATATGTCCAGTGTGTAGGAAGTCCGAAACGTCTCGCTCATATCCATCTTCTCTTCCTCTCCAACAGCAACTGTCCTTTGACCACCTTCACATCAAAGCATCTGCGTCCGGGGGTATACTTTGTACAATAAACCGGAAAGTGCCAAAGACAAGTTCAATACCAAACCCACCTGTACAAGTCACGCTTCTGCACTGTTGTCCCAGTCCTCTATGTTCAGACAAGCCGAATGAGAACTAACTCTCCGTATCCGCCACATCGCCGGCGACTTTCTTCAAGGGAACATTCGGGTCACTGGCAGGCTCTGCGTCGGGGTCACGTTCTTGCCCCTGATCCTTCTGTGCTGGCTCGTCGGCGGCTTTTCCCTTCTTCCCCTCCGCTTTCGAATCCGACGAGTTGGATGATTCTCCGTCACTCTTTGCTTCTTTGGCTTCTTTCGCTTTGCCCTTTGTTTCTTCCTCTTTCTGTTCTTCTGTGGTCTTGTCCTCTTTCGGCTTCGGTGGTGCGGTCGCCGGACTCTCGTCTGGATCCGGCGCCTGCTGCTGAATTGGCGCTGCTGTTGGGACAGGCGGACCTGGATTGAGGCTGGCCGCGGGCGCCGCGACGGGTGCTGGTGCTGGTGCTGCTATTGGCAATGCAGCAGCCTGCCCTCCCGCAACAGCACCTCGACTTCTCAGAGTTGCCCCAGCGTAGTTTGCATCCACCGTCCCTGTCATATACATGTCGGGATTGTTCACGGTATTGTTTCTCACTGCCCGATCATACAATCTGGTCAGTCTCGCAACCTCACTCCTGACGGTGACTGCGGCTGCTCCCCTTTCTCCACCCTTCCCATCGCCCGTATCGATATCATCGTACCCATTCACCCCGGCACTTATCCCCAGCCACATGACTTCGGAATTCTCGATTTCGTCAACCACCCTCTCCAGATCGTCTCTGTACATCCTCGCTCTCATCGGCTGGCCCCTCGACTTCAAATATGCAACAAGACCGGCAATGATGGTGTTCATCGCCCCGAAAATGGTGATCAGTATGTGACTTGACTCGGAGGCCCCCAAGGCCGTTAATGCGGCACCTAGGACGACCTGGGAGAGGAGCATCGTGTTGGATAACGAAGCGGTCATATAGTAGGTAAAGCGCTGGTTCGCGAGTTGATGAGTAGCCCTGCCGTACAAGGACTTGGGCGGCACTGCTGAAGCACGCGATTTACCGTCTGGGGACGGGGCGGAAGAGGGAACCCCGACCATCATGCAGAATTGGGCATGAGGATCGGTTGAAAAGTTGCTGTTGTCGGCATCGAGGTGGTGGTACGAGGACCAGAGAAGAGGCGTGTGTTCGTTGGGCATCTTGGAGGATGGAACGAGCAGGAGTCTGCTGCAGCTTTTTGAATGGCGTTGAAATCCAACCACTCTCCTGTACTGTCAAGACCTCCGAAGCCGGGCGATAGCTTTTACTCTCTCTATTCAGCTTGAAACCGCCGTGTTTGGGTGGCAGCGCGTCTTCGAATGCGACTACAGATCGACGTCTCAGCCGATGCCAATTGCCCCCCCCAAAAACGAATGACGATACTGTCTTTACACAAGGCGCGAGAACTAGACAGCAACAACCAACGTCTTAAGTCTCCTCCACAAGAACGACAGATTACTCAAGGAGCAGGAAAAAAGCTGCAAAAGGAAGCAAGCAAGCTGAGGAAGAGATTGGGTTACAGACCTCGTACTAGTGCGTGGGTGGCTGGGCTCAGCTCTGCTCTCGCCCAAGACTGACTCTCGATAACTAACCAGAACGACCCGGGTACCGAGTGAGCTGTCCGCCAACTAGCCACTTTGCGACCTTCCGAGTCACCTATCCCGCCATCAAACCACCAAACCACCAAGCCGAATGGAAAAATAAGTGGCACCCTCCTTGCACCCTCCCAAGTATATCGCGGGGAGAACAGAGATGGCCTTCGTTGCTCTGTAATGAGCATTTGCCATTCCGTTCACCTTGACCGGCTAGATATAGAGGCACTCTGTCTTCCTATGCTGTTAGCTGCGTTCGATATAGCGACCACTTCGTCCTCATTGATCTGTCTTTGGCCACATTAGATGCGGCTTGCCATATGCGGGTCAGACTGTGTCACTTGCATTTTTTTTGTTAAAAAATTTGGATTCGGCTTCCTAGTTTGTTCTCATTATTCATACCAATGCATCATATCCAGTTATATCAAATCCTTTTCCATATTCATGGCGTTGGAGCAAGACAGCGCACCAACCCAAAACAATCCTTGCATCTGCTGCGCCAGAACACTCCGCTCTTGATTCCATATAACGAATAGCGCCGACAGTAAAAAAAAAAAAAGCTTCATGAAGGAAGACGTCCGTTTCTCCCCCCTGATGTTAGAACCCTTGGACAACAAACAACGCTAGCAATTTCGCGTCTGCTTCCCCAAGCAAAGCCTCATGCTCTTCTCCACGCTGCGGTCTAACTGATTACCGCCATATATATTTTGATGCAAAGTTCCAGGGTTTCCTCGATCTTCGACTCCAGAGATCGGTCACGGTGCCCCAGCATCGTCAGCCCGGAAGAATTATCATCAATGGCTTCTTGTTGCTGCTCCCGTTGCTGCTCCTGTTGTCGTCGTTCCTGGTCCCTCGGGTGCTCCTACCACCCAACGCCAGGATGCCACCCGCCCAAACTCGTCGACGGGGAACCCATCCAACTACTCTGGTTCTGTTGGTTTCGGGCTAAGCTCTGCAAAAGCACTGCCGGATGCGTACTTGGGCTTCCTCCCAGCCCTGATCCGATCGGCCGATTTCCAGCAGAGCCTTTCCCCGCCATGGAAGAAGCAGCCTTCAATTTGGAGTCGCACTGCGTGGTGGAATGCACATGGTAGGCGCAGCCCTTGTCCCTCGCTGGGTCGCCAAACTTTTCGATTTGCCATTGCCATACCTTGCGCATGATCAACATCGCCAACTCCGGGATCTTGAAGAGTTCTTCAAATTCCGCGCGGTCGGTGTCGTCCGCAACGCTTTTCCTGAGGTGATCATGGTAGTAGCGCGGAAATGTCATCATATGGTGGACGAGGTGCTCGATAAAGAAGCGTTTCAGCGGTGATTTGTGCGGTCCGTGGAGGTGGACGAGGGCGAGGGCTGAATAGTTGGGGCGGAGGTTTGCAGACGCTGTTGAGTCGGACCCGGTTTGGGCGTCTCTGTCTGCTCCTGGTGCGGATAGGCTTGAGACGAGGCTCGGTCTGCTGGCGTCTCTGTTGCTGCCGTGTCCTCCACCAATAATGTGATGGATGTGACTGTGATTATGGCCGTTCCCACTGCCACTGCCACTGCCACTGCCCAGTCTATAATTCGTCCGGATACAATCCATGATGCCGTTCTGCAGCTCCTCCATGCCAAACTTATCCGCCATGCAATACGCCTGCGACATGTCACACATATCTAGCCCGGTGGTCCCTCTTGCGCCTGCCGTACTTCCACTACCAATTGCACTCGTCCCAAAAGTCCCAAAGACGGGCAGTCTTCCTCGATATATCCACTCGACCACTATGCTGAATGCCTTTGGGTCGTCTTCCGGAAGGTAGAGTTCATTCTTGTAACCCTCGTCGAAGCGGTTCTTTTGAAGGCATTTTTCCATGAAGGGAGAGCGCTGGCAGATCAGGTCGCGATGGAGGTGGAAGCGTTTGCGCTTCGGGCCGACGTGGACGGTTACAATCTCCGAGGTTGTGAAGCTGGCGCAAACAGTCAGGAAATCATAGGGAACATTGTCCCGCACCAAGTGAGGCAGAGAGCCGGTGGCAAACAGGCATATAGTGGTGGATGTAGACAGGGAGAGGATATCCCGGGAACTTGAACTCACTTGTCCACATCATCATCGTCATCATCCTCTTCCTCGTCCTCGTCCTCTTCCTCCTCTTCCTCGTCCTCTTCTTCCCCCTCTGGGTCGCCGGAGCCATCGCTGTCTCGGGCATTTTCGTTCTCTACCTCTGCACCGTCACGCCTCGCTCCATCGCCAGCGGTCAATTTGACCTTGGACTTCCCTTTCTGCACGCCAGCCGCTTGCGCCTCCACCGCAGGGCTCTGCGATTGTGCGGGGGTTGCTTGGTTCATCATGTTGTGCTCCTCAACTTTGAGGTTGCGAGAGAAGAGAGATCCAAACATGAACGGGAGACGAGGCTGTGGGGAAGAGGTGGAATGATAGAAGGCAGCACTACTCGGTACCCAGCAGAGAGGTGACAACGACGCAGGCCGGAATTCGAGCGGTGGGGCAAGTGTCACCGCGTCAAGACCGACCAACTCCATCGCGTCTGCAAGTCCTTGGTAGAGGCGCTTCGGGACTCGTTCCGAGCTCATGATCCCGACCGTTAAAGTGATAAGGCCTGTACTTCGTAACTCTATTGTACGGAATGCTTTCCACCTGGATCCAAACTCGGATATCACAAGGGGTAGTACTGATAACCTTTTTCATCCGCTGGGCCTGACACTTGCCCACCGCCCAGTCCTCTGCCTGCGCTATACGCGGTAGTGATACTGATATTGACCCCCGAACTATAATGATACAAGGATAACCTGAAAACAAAAAGCACAACCTCGCTTTGCACCAGATAATCCAAGCTTCTTCCCCCCCTTCCCTTTCTCACTCGGTGCGATTGCATTCGACCGTCCCTCGCACTCTGGGTTGATGCCAGTGCGGTGCCAGTTTCAACCCAATGCCTATGACGCGAACCTAGCGCTTCTTCGCTCCTCCAATGCCGTGCCCTTGTCCTTGCGCATCGAAATCCGCCCCTGTCGCTCCATGCATATGCTCAATGTCGGCCGAAGGGGGCGGAGGCGGTAGCGTCAGGGGAGGCGGCGAGATCGCAGGACCTGCGTCAAAACCGGCTTCACCACTGACTTTCCTGACCCTCTCTCTCTCCAGTTCGCGTCGTAACTCTTCATTCACCGCATCTCTCTCCTCTAGTCTCCTCCTCGCACCACTTCGGTCAAGCAACCTAGCCTCACGCTCGGCTTTCAACCTCCTCTCCAGCTCTCTCAGGCGATGGATCCACTTCTCTTGCCCTTGACCACCACCTACGCTTACTGCTGTAATACTGGCAATATCTGAGCCCGACGCTGTACTTGGTGGTGCCGGAGGGGCTTCTCGTGGGGGGGGCGGCAGGGAGAACTTTCCGTCAACGGGGGCGTTAAAGGGCCCCGCAGGGATCATCAGGCCACCCCGGTCTCGTTCGCCTCCCTGTGTATACCCCGAATGACGACTAGAGATCGAATTCGAGCGCAACGAGGTGACGTCGCCGCCCATACTGGCCAGATGTTCCGCAATGCCTGTGGAATGATGTCTCTGCAGCTCCATCGTTCGAGTGCGCCTCATACTCGAAGAACGAGCCGGAACGCCGACAGCTCCATTCACTGCTCCGTCAACTTGGCCGGGTCCCTCATTTGACATGATGCTTGAATATCCCGATGCCCGGCTCTCGTTCCTGTCTCGTCGGTGGTGCAGATTGTGGTGTGCCTGCTGCTGTTGGAGAAGCTGGAGCTCGGCCTTGAGTAACCGGTTCTCACCCTTCAACTTGCTGATTTCGGGAGTTCTGCTGGATTTCGGCGTTCGAGCTCCCGTATCCATGCGGCTTTCCATTTCCGACATCTTGATTTTCATCTGCTCCCAGCTTTCTTCGATACGTTCAAGCTTCCGGGTCCGTACTTCTAGGGTCTGTTCCAGTGCCTGGTACTCCTTGTATAGCTCGCGTTCGACGCGTTTGATCTTGTCTTTGAAAGTGGAAAGAGTCCCTTCAACCTGCTTTGCAGCCAAGAGCAAATTCCGGCTAAACCCAGGCCAGAAGAGCATATTCCCAATCACTTCTTGAGAAGGAAGGTTGCCATTGATCAAGCTGTTGTTGTGAGCCCAGTCTGGTCCGCACATAGCAGAGAGCTTCTTCCACAGATTGAGCAACACCTGGTTCCTCTCAGATAGCTGTTCTTTGAGTTGAGTTTCCATCTGTGCCATCCGCTTCCTGTCGGTCTGACGAAGTCCTTCGAGTTCAGCAATCCTAGTAGACGCGGACGTGAGTGCCCTAGTGGTCGAGTTATGACCCTTGTTGGTCTTCTCAAAGTCCAACTTGTCTTGTCGTCTGCCTGCCTTCTCCCGCTCGTAGGCGTCAGCCAATTTTCTGCATTCATGGCTCGTCGACTCCAACAACGCATCACGATCAGCAAGCAGATTCTCTGTCTGTTCAAGTCTCCTTCGAACAGCTTCAAGGTCAATAGTGGTCTGATCCAGCTCTCGCCGCATCTTGGTGACCGCACTAATCAAGCTCGACCGAGAGCTGTTCGGATCCCCAATGATGTTTCGCAGGCTCTCCTCCAATTCAGATAACCGCTCCTGGTACGATTTGGCTTCAATGTCTCGAGCTGATAGTGCTTTGCGGACTTTCCGAAGTTCGTCCTTCGCACCGGAAGCTTCCCGATTGAGATCGTTGATGACCCGCTGAACTTCCTGCTTTTCTTGACTGGCAACCGCGTCTCTTTGTGCCCTTTCCTCGTTGATCCGCCGTTCGAGTTCCCTGCTCTTATCTCTTTCTGATTCCAGGTTAAGGTGTACTTTCTTGAGCAGGGACTCCAGATCGCCAATCTTGATCTTGTCAGCGTCTTGCTCTTCACGGAGGAAGGCAATCTCATTATGGCTGCTCTCCTGTTGCACCGTCAATCTTTGCACTTTGCTTTCAGCCTCGGAGAGAGTCTTTTCGAGATTCTCAAGCTCGCGATTCGCGTCCTCAAGTTCGGCCTTGACAGACTGGTACCGTGCTAGATTTTGCTGCGCATCCTCTTCAAGACGGACAAGGCCTTCCGCGGCAGACCGCATCTCCGCCTGCAACGCCTTGACATTCTCGACCTGGGCTTTGAGTTCTCCATCAAGCTTGGCACATTCCTCAAGCTTGGCATCAAGCTCATCTCCGAGACCGTCGATTTCCTCCTGGGCCTCACTCTTCAACTGTTGGAAGGCTTGATCTTGCTCCTCTGCGTCACGCAAGGCGTTGTCGCGCTCCTGGGTCAGCAAGTGAAGCTCTTCATTAAACTGATCAGCGTCTGCTTGCGCCTGAGCATCCACAGCGTCGAGTTCTGCGAGTGCTTCGTCGAACTGGTTCTGGAGGTTCTGGTTTTCGAGTTTTAATTGTGACACCTCGTCGCGGAGCTCGTTGATCCTAGTCTCGAGGGCCTCGCGTTCTTGGTCGCTCATCCGGGATAACCTCGTTCCATTGCTTGTGCGGGAATGGGATCTTGCTCTGGACGCCGACCGGTCGAGAATACTGTCGCCAGCCACCGATCGAAGACCGCCCATCCGTCCAAGTTTCAAATCTTCAATTTCCTGGTACAAGCGCTCCTTTTCTTTATTCCGAGACGTCAGAGTAGATGCCTGAGCGCCAATCATTTTCTGTAGCTCCGAAACTTCATGCCTCAATCTCTCAATTTCCGCGTCTTTGGCATTTGCTGCTTCGACACTACTAGATCTCGAAACAACCGAGCCTCCAATCTTGATCTTGCGAGAGTTGGACTTCCCGGACACGAATGTCTCACTCCTGAGTTTTGCGACCTCTTCCCGAAGTCGCTTGTTCTCTTCTTCAGACTGCTCACGCGCAATGGTCTCTGCTTCAAGCATATCCTTCCACATATCACGCTCTTCCCTGGAGCCGACGTCGGAAGCAGCAGCTCGAGTATCGCCCAAGGATTTGACCATTTCAGCTAGCTTTCGCTTCTCCGTTTCCTTTGCGAGGTTCTCTTGGCGGAGTTTGTCTATCTCTATCTCAGTAATTTCGACTCTTTCTCGAAGATAGATGACTTCTTCCTCGGCCGTCGGACTCCTTTCCTCGTCGGTGGCATATCCTTGATCAGCATTCGGCGAGTCGCGGGCACCGGTCTCCTCGAGCTTCTTTTGCAGATCTCGAACTTGCTTTCGTAAATTATGATTATCCTTTTCCAATCTCAACCGATCGGACTTTAGTTGTACATTTTCCGTGATCATCTCCTTGATGCCATCCTCCGATCTTTTCTGTAGCGCTTGGTCCAAGAAATGGATCTTCATTTTTAAGTCGAAGTTCTCTTTGCCCAACTTTTCCACAGTGCTTCTGTGCTCTTTCAACGTCAGGCCTCGCTTGGGCCCCGGAGTCATGCCTATCATAGTGTTGCTCTTCTCCGGTGACATGCTGCGCTCTTGACGATACTGACGAGCAAAAGTTCCTGGTACTTCTAGATCTCGCACGTTATTAGAGATTACTGCATCTGTAGGCATGTTGAAGTTGAAGACCGATGCCCGAGGGGTAGAATATCCGCCTGCCTTGTTTGAGTTGGGGCTCTCTTCCTCCAACGTCGTTAAGTCAGTTGCGCCAGCCTGTCTCTGCGAGCGAGGTTCATCGTCGCTAATTCCTGATATCCCAGACATCATGCTTCCTAAGCTAGCTTGTCTGGAGATTGTGGCCCTGGCTTTTCGCTGCGCGCTCGAATCGGGCAGGGCACCTCCCGATTGCAGCGCAAAGTCCGCCCCTACGGTGACATCGCTAGCGTCTGTATTAGAGCTGGCCATGGAATCGTAGGATAGGCGCGCCTGGGAAGATCTCTTGTGTAGGTATCCTGGTCGCCTTGTCCCTTGTTTAGATGTGCTTTCTGTGCCTTCTTGCTGTCCGTCAGCGCTGTGCGGCAAGCCCAAATATCGATTCTCGTTCTTTCGTGGAGTGGCTTCATCATCTTGGGCACTCCGAGACCTCCTCTCGAGTCTCATCTGATCTTCTGTTTCATTGGCCGTCTCGTATCCGCCTATGGTGGCCAGGGATTGCACTCGTGAAAGTGTTCGGGCAGCGGCAGCGGCCGTGGGGGAGGAGGACATGCTTTCAAGGACGGATGTGCTCGGTAGTTGACGAGTGGACCCGTCGCTGTCGACGGTGTCACGGAACGCATGTCGTTCCGGTGCGGGAGTCTTGTAGGCGCCAGGTGGTGTGCGCGGTGACTGGGGGAGGTTTCCCGCAACATGGTTCTCCGTGTCGTCGGACTGGTAGGAAATCTGGATAGGATGTGGCTTCTTCCGCACGGCGACATTGTCATTGACGACGCCGAACAAGTGCGTATCATCTGCGCCAGTGGCTGTCGAGCTCTTTTCCACTAAGTCTGAGTGTTCG